CAGGTGCCTTACTAGTAGTAACAAGAAAGCTATTAGAAACAAGTGCACATTGCTGAACTGAAAAAAAGGTGTCCATAGCTTTCATCTTCTTCGCCACTTGCCTCAGCTGTGCCCCTTGGACACGCAGAGCCACATACGGTCAAATATAAACTATGTCTAGCTTTGACCAACCCAAACCTCATACTTGCTCATACTTCCTCCATTTGCCCCGGGACGTCAGGTGAGCGTCCCAACTTCCACCAAATCCAAGTGCCCTCGATTTGCTTCCAAACCACTGTCGTTCTTGAAGGTGCTTTAATTCAGCTGGATCCTGGTTTCAATCTCACGCCAACCGCAGGAAGATTAAAGCTACAGTAACCCAACAGCGAATTGTCTTTTGGGCAACTTGCTCCAAGCAGAGAGAGAGAGAGAGAGAAAGAGAAATCAAACCAAAGGAAACCGTAAGGTATCACAGGGGTGCATGCCTAAAAATGTGTGTGTTTTTCTCTTTGAGACTATTTAGGCCTGTCTCTTTCTTCCGTTTTTTGTTCCTTCCCATGTTTCCTTTTGCATTCCATTCTGACATGAATTTGGATGGATGAAGTGGTTCCCGTTTTTCTTTTGTCAATGGCACGTCTCCTTCACGATCGCACGGGCGGCAGGGCCAGAGCTGCTCAGTCTAGGGCAGCCAGGCTCTTCGCTGGCATAATGCACAGGGATATCCAGCTCCTATGAGGCCAAACTAGACTTCACTGGACTAAATTATACAGTAGATACACTCAATCTTGGCATGCCCCAACCTTCCAGACTTCGTGGAGCTTGGGCATGAAGACCTAGCAGGAAAAAGAAACTGGTGGCGTGCGACCCTTCGTGACACGCTTGGCATGAAACCAATGTGAGCAGTGGCTGCATGTCGACAGGCATCTGGCAGCGCCTTCATGGACACCTCTTGCCATGGTCGCTGCGCAAGGGTAACACAACAAACTTCACCCAATTCCTCGGGATCTGGACGTCTCCAACATCCAGTCTCCCAAACTATCATCGCTGCAAAATGTCACTTGCTTAAAGGCTTGAACTTTGCAACATGCCTTCCGCCAAGAGATCGTTTCATCAACTTAAAAGGAAGGCCACTGTAAAACGCCAGGTCACAGCGGCTGTTTGGACCAGCGCCCTGGCTGTCTCATCCATCTCCTACAAGCCCCAGCCTTTTGTGACATTGTTGCAACAGTTTCGGATGTAAAAATTCCACGCACACCCGACGCAAAAGCATGACTTCACTCGTAGATGGTCCCACCTCTAGGGCACCCAAATCTTCAGCGCTCAAGTGCACCTCTGGCTGCTCATCCTGCCATGCCTTGCTAGCATTCTTGAAGGCCTGAATCCAAGATTTCGCGTCTACGCTGGTGACTCTTCCAAGTCTGAATTTAACCACAAGTGCGTGATGCGTTTGATAGTTTGAAAACGTTTGATATGCCTGTGCGTTGATATGTTTACAAGAGACACCGTACGTATGCATATACCTTTGATTGAAATATGTTTGACACTGTCTCTGTGTTGACGTCACAATTCCGTCGCGGCCTTTTTGGACTCGAGCCAAGTTGTAGGGAAGAGCGTGTCGTCCCAATCCTGGGTGTCACTTTGGGGTAAGCTTCCTTGAAGAAGTGCTCGCACTAATGATCTGGCTTCTAGATTTTTAGGGGAACTTAACACTCTGGCAATGTGCCGTGAGTGCATCATGGCTCGCATGCATCATGTCTCCCAAACTCACCGCAAAATCGCATAACCTTTACTGAGATGTAATGCATTGAATAAATTGAAGCCAATGAGACATCACCGTCACCATGCAGTCTCTCCAATCCGGTCCTTTCCCAGAACAACAGAACAAGCAGCTAACAGGATGAGCGTGGAGGAAGGACTCGCTGCGGGGAGCGGCTGGAAGGAGACGGAAGAAGTACAGCGAGAGGACGGCCCCATTAGGGTCTCATACTGCCATTCGCCGCAGTCGCCTAAAGCTGTGCCAAATGAACAAGGCTGTGTCCGCAAGGTGTTTTCTCGGAATGTCTGGAGTAGAAACGATGTGTTTGATCAAGCAGGCAAGACACCCGAGGCATCTGGCTCTTGCGTAGTAGCAGCCGTGCTGAAGGAAATACAGGCCGCAGCGGCGTTGTCCTTGGTCAATTTGGCAGGTAATAATTGGCTGCCAGCGCGCAGTTGATTCAACCGATTTGACCCTAGACTAGACCAAGTGTCGGATACACAAACGCTGTTCTGAATCTTTGTGATGTCATCGTCAACTTCCCCTCTCATTGCCTCAGCTACTTGCATGGTCAAAATTGAGGCAAGTAGAATCATTGCCAAGAAAATGAATATTCTGAAGAAACAGGTGAATCTCTCCCTCTCTCTCTCTCTCTCTCTCGGCAAGGACATCTCTTCCTCCGAGTGCTCGGCATTGAGCTCCTGCCAGGGGAGAAAACAGAGTTGCCATCTGAACGAAATAATGTAAATGACGACAACAACAACAACAACAACAACAACAACAATATATATATATATATTGGTAAACCCTTGTTATGCTAATCACGTGGAGGTTTTCCAGTGCACGACGAGGTGTCGGGGGTGGTGCACGACTGGGTTCAAATCTTGACTATGTTGGTGCAAGAAACTCATGCGTAAGCAGAGCTCAGATCGCTGAACAACTTGTGTTCAACTATTCAATGGCAATCCATGCAATCAAAAAACAGTCCCAGAAATCTTTAGACCCTTGACTTCGATTTATGTTTTAGAAATCCAGGAACACATGTTCACATATTACTTTGGGTTTTCCAGCCCTTGGAGTGGGGCGGGACTGGGGCGGGAGTGGGGCGGGACTGGGGCGGGAGTGGGGGAGTGGGGCGGGAGTGGGGCGGGAGCCATCAAAGGCAGCATCCACAGCCATCACAGCCATCCACACGGTAATTGACAAAAACTGTTATTTACAAAAACGTCGTTTTTGTAAAAAATACTTCTTGTATTGCCAAGCCATGGTGGTCGACTGTGAGCGGTTGGTGCCACCCACGCGGGCCACACCCCGCGACATAGAATTCATAGGTTTTTGATTTTCTAGTGTTAACGCTGCTACGCCCGTACAAGTCATGATTGTTGTTGTTCATGAATTATATCCCCCCCCTCTCACCCCCTCCTCCTCTCCCCTCCTGCCCTCCTCTCCCTGCACAGCAGAGCTTAAGTATTAATTGAATTATTGACATTGAATCTAGCGCCAGCTAAGGCCATGGCCTATGGACCTATGTTTCGATGCTAATGCTATACCCGCATTTCTCGCTTCATGGCCCCGCCCCTGGCCAACTCAAGAGGGAAATTGCCACTCACGGGTGAATAGACAGAAGAGGCACCACGCCACCATATGATATCACCGATCGCCAATTATCGCCAAATCAACCCTGTCAGCTTTCAAAAAGGGGAAGAGGTCGGGGACACATTTTGCAAGAAGTCCCTCTCCATAATGCTAAGACACGTGGAAAAGTAATTAAAACGAATCAAAAAATACAAATTTCAATAAACTGATCTAATTATTGCGTTCAATATTTGTCCCTGACTTCTTCCCGACCTCTTGCCGACCTATTCCCGACCTCTTCCCGGCCTCTTCCCGACCTCTTCCCGACCTCTTCCCGACCTCTTCCCGACCTCTTC